AGAAAAATGTGTTGATTTTTGGTATGATGAGCACTCTATCAACGGTGCGACGTGTTGAGGAAGTAATGTGGAAAGGTATGAAGGCGAAAACGTCTTGATCACGCATACGCAATTTGCAGGAGAAATCGATGTAGGGGTGACTCTTGTCACATATGGAATCATTGTCAACGTGAGTCAAATTGTCTTTACAGTCTTTAAGATCACAACACTGGATGGTTTGCATTTGCAGATGAAAGAAAACGATACGTTTTAATAGGAAATAAAAATCAGAGCGAAAGTGGTAAATTGATTTTTGAGGTTCAAATTATTTTTTTTGAAAGTAAAAACACAACCTTTTTTGAATGAATTTTGTCGACCATTTTGTTGAAAAAAGTTGGGTTAAAAATAATGTGAAGGTATAATATATTATAATATATTTTGTTATTACTATGGTTTTGATGCTGTTCTGGCTTGGAATACTTGAAGTTATTGAAAAAAGTGGCGAATTAATTGTTTAATTAAATAATAGTTAAATTAATATTAAATTTAATTAAAAATACGGTTGAACTTTTTTTGAAACACATATTTTGGTAATTATTTTTTATATGAGAATTTTTTATTAATTTTTAATTAAGAAAACTAAAAGTGTAAACGAATTTCAAAAAACACATTTATTATATTTTGATTTAAAAACAAAGTTATTTTAGTAGTTTGAAGATTGATATAATTAATTATTATTTAATGTATTTTACCACAAACATCAAATAAAAATCATTCAATCGAATAAAACTTGAATATACGACAAATTGATTTTTTACTTCAACAATCACTTTATTTGCTATCAAACATCTTTGAGGCGATTTTCGTTTTTCTTTGTGAAGATTTGACAATTAATACAACACAATCCAATGAGTAAAGAAACACATATTGTTACAAAAATGTAAGTGTTACTGTTTTCATTATTTTTTAAATTCAAAAGAGTAGTATTATCACTCCCTAAACTTCCAACAGAAATTTTAAAATATCCCGTATCTTCAGGCAATGCACTAGCAACATAAAAGTAATACTTTTCGTTTTCAACAACATCAACACTTGTAGCAAACCCTCCAAAACAATTTTTACTTGCCGTTTTCTCCAAAACGCACGTTGGTTTGTCACACGTTCCCTTGAAAATTCCAAAGTTGTTTTCAACTCCATTTTCGACAAAACACGTTGAGACATTCACCTTCATCGTTTTGTGGGCCACAAAAGTAAACCAAAACTTTTCGCTTTTAATTTGAGAACATTTGTCGACTTCTTGGACGTGAAAATGGTTTGAAAAAACACCAGAAAATGGAATTTGAATTGGAAGTGCGGTGTGACAAGTGTCATGTAAATGAACACTCTGTTGTATTATAATCACTTCTATTGCTTTATTTTCTTCTCCTTCTATATAAACTAAAGTATCTTCCTTTGGAATAACATCGACTTTCCCATAAGATAACGCATTGCAATAGAAATTGGAACACCCACTCTTTAAAGCTAATTGGGCTGGTTTTCGAGTATCTTTGTATATAGCTTCAACATGATACAACCGTTCTTCTCTTGTAAAAAGTAGCCACTTTCCTCTTGTAAAGTGCACCTCCCCGTCACATCCACTTTGCGTGTAACTTTGCGTCGGAGTCACTTCAAAAGCGAATTTCTCAGACTTGGTCACTTCTCTCGGATTTTCACAAATTTCATTCAGTGAAGACTCTTTGGATTCAACAGTCAGCTGAACTTCACAAAAATCTGTAATACATGAAACCCTAATTACAGTGTGTTCTATTTCAGTTTTAACAAATTCAGTAATTTCATGAAGTCCACAAAGTTGAGTCCGGACTAATGGACACTGTTTTAAAGTTGAATTTGTTAACTGAGTGAGTATTTCTATTTTTGTTTCTCCAACACCAGATCGACAAGTTCCCACCACCAATTTTTGATTCATTTGTGGAAGAGAGAAGTAAACACTTCGTTGAGAAAAATGAGTATTTTCACAGATGTTTGGGGTTTTTGGAATTGTGGTGTCAATGCGAAATAATTTGAAATAGGGAAGGCGTGTTATGTTCTCGGGTGTGTCAATTGTTGTTGAAAGAATTTGAGTTGAGAAAGTTAGATAGAAAAGAAGTGGAAGAACAGCGATCATTGTGATGAAAAACCTTCTTTTATCTTTTAAAGTGGTTTAGTATGTAAAACTTATGTCGTAATTTATTTTATTAATAATAGTACTATTATATAATTGTACCAATTATTATATAAATTTATTAATAAATATAGTACAATATGATAAATAAAAATTAAATTGAATAATTATTATTAATAATTGTTTTTAATCAAATACTTTTTGAAACAAAGAGCGTTTATTTGTGATGTTGGAAGGTTTTAATATGGCGAATTTAAAGCAAATACTGGAGAGATGTTCAATATAGTGTTCAATGTTATTTAAAAGAAATTTCTTTTTTATTGCTCAAAAAAATGTATAAGAGCAAAATATGCAAACATCCACTTTTTTGAAGTTAATTGCCCAATCAAAACAATCGTTCATAATTTTCTTATTTAAAAGCCACAACCCAAGTTATTACGTTGTAATAAACAAACTAATAAAAACACTATTCAATTATGAAAAACATTTAAAAAACTCTATAAAAACCATTTTAATATCTTTAAAACATAAAAAATGGCAACAGAATTTACAAAAGCAACAAATAAGAAGTTTTTGCAAGAGTACGACATTACAGTTGAAGATGATTATAAAGACACGTTCGAAGGGTACTATGCTGACTTGAAAGGCAATAAAATAACAAAGAGTAAAGAAGAATTAATGAAAGATTTTAAGACTGTTGCACAGATTAATTCTGAATGTCCAGAAACCATGAATCCGTCCATGTGGAAACACACGTTTTTAGACGACTTGGAAGGTGTTTTTGAAATTGTTCCCAATGAAATTTATCAAGTGAGAGCACGATCGTTGGACTTTGCGAATTTGACTGTAGTTAGAGGACAGAGTGGGTGGATAGTTATTGATTGTATGACGACTAATTATGCGAGTAGAACATCATTTAATTTGATAAGACAGACAGTAGAAGATATGAAGGCATCTGCTATAATCATCACACATTCTCATGGTGACCACTATTTGGGTTTTGGAGGTGTAGGTAACGAAGACATTCCACTCTACTTACCCGACAAATTTGATGAAATGATTTACGACGAGAGAGTGACTGCTGGGGATATCATGAGTCGAAGAGCAAAGTACATGTATGGATGTTATGACCAACATGCAATTACACATTGCACTACAAATGTAACATGTGCAGAAGGTGAACATTTGACATCAATTCCCTATTCAAAGCACACCACTTATATAAAAGAGAATATCACTCTGAACGTTGATGGTGTTGATGTGGAATTTATTAACACTCCTGATACTGAGGCGCCTGCAAATATGATGTGTTACTTCCCAAAATTACATGCACTTGCTGCTGCTGATAACATGTTGCAATTCTTACACAACTTGTTGACATTCAGAGGTGCCAAAGTGAGAAGTGGGAAAGTGTGGAGTAAAGTCATTGATGACACTATAGTGAAATATGGTACAGATGTCCAAGTGCACTTTGGAGGACATGATTGGCATATTTTGGGAAATGCAAAGATCAACAAGTATTGGGAAGTCCAAAGAGATATGTTTAAATATCAACACGACCAAGCCTTGAGATATGCGAATAAAGGATACTCCCCTAATGAAATCGCAGAAATAGTGGAATTGCCAAAGAGTCTTTCTAAATATCATTGTTGTAGAGGACTTTATGGGAACGTTGGATTTAATGTGAAGTCCCAATTTCAAATGTATCTTGGGTGGTACGATAACAATCCAGCACATCTGAACGAACTTCCGCCAAAGGAAATTGCTATCAAGTATGTTGAAGGGTTTGGAGGTGAAGAGAAGACATTAGAAATTGGTAAAAGAGCATATGATAAAGGAGAATATAGATGGGCAGCTACTGTTTTGAATCATTTGGTATTTGCAAATTACAAGAACAAAGAAGCGAAAGAGATGCTTGCAAAGACTTACGACCAATTGCAGTACCAATCCGAATGTGCTTCATTTGCGTATAATTATCAAGCTGCTGCATATGAACTGAGGCATGAAGATGCAAAAAGAAGCTATCCAAGAGGAGTTTCTTTGCACGACCTCCCTTTAAGTGCTTTGATGGAATTCTTGACCGTTTGTGTCGATCCAAAAATACTTGGAGAAATGAATTCTTCCTTTGAAATTAAGTTGGAAGACACATGTGAAAGTGTTGTGCTAGTAGTCAGTAATGGTGTTGTTCATACACGCAAGTTAAGCGAATTCAAAAATGGTGTTAAAGGCAACAAAGATGACGTATGTGACTTATTTGAGAAGAAAATTTCAATTGAAGATGCATTGAAAAAGGGCGTTGAAATAAAAGGAATGGAAGACGTTGAAATTCTTATTAATGCCGTGGAGTTTAAAGTGAATGAATTCTTGTTGTGTGATCCAAACAAACTTTAAACTATTAAACTTTTAATTATTGTTTATTATAACATTTAAAACTTATTTTTGAAAAATACATATTTTTATCGGTATTAAAAATGAAATATTGTTAATTTTAACCAGAAAGTTAATGATATTTTTATATTAGATACCGTTATATAATTATTGTAAATGGCTTTGTTATTTTTTTAATATAGTTAAAGTATAATATAAAAAAACACTAAAAGATATACTTTTTATTTTGTCAAAAAAAAAGAATTTAAAACTTCTCCAAAAAGTGAACTTTAATAACTATTAAAATTTCTAAAAAAATATAGTATTTCAAATTAACAAAACAAAATTTTTATGTTATTTATTTTAAAAACTATAGTTAATTAATATAAAAACTACTAATAAAAACAACTCGAAGAATATTCTTTTAACTATTTTCAACCTTTTTTTCAAATAATAATTATAATAAATAATATAGTTTCTTATACTTTAGCGGCGAAAGATGAGTTTTATATGAAAAGACAACTTTTGATTCATGATAATTACAGTTTTTTATTACCAAGTCAAAAACAAAAACTAGACAATACTAGTATTAATACCATAGAATGTAGAACTGTTATGTTAATGAATGCATACTAAATATAAATGGTACCATCTAGTAATCGACTTAAATACTTGTTATCAAGCTTAAAACATTAGATGGAACCACCAAAGAAACCGGACACCTTATTTGATATCTTACACCGTACACACACTTTGAGTGCGTACATATCATCGTATGTTCCTTTCTCGACAAAAAGCAAGCGTTCTCCAGCCATCACTGAAGCAGATATGATCTCAAACATCGAACAAATGAAGAAGAAAAAGACGGTTTCAGACCAAACTATTCAACGTGCAGGGGTTCTTCTTGCATCTTTAAACAGAGAGGTCTTTACACTCGAGACTAAAGTGGACCAAATCAAGTACATTACATCGCATTACAAATCAAGTTATAGAGACGTCGGTGTCTTGTTCTGTGTGTGTAACTCTTCGATTCACACCCACACCAAACAAAAGGAAACACAACCTCCCCACACCTCCAAGTTTTCTCCTGAAATGGACAACGCCATTTCCGCGTTATTTGCCGTCTGTGCCTCACAAAACTTAACTGCCAATTTCAGGTTTGTAGAGACAATTTGCAAGCACTTCGACAAGGAGTTTTCTGTCACAAGAAAGGGGTTGGACAACCACATCGAAAAGTGTCACAACTACAAATCCGCATTAGTTACTAAAGATAATGTCCAAGTCCTTATGCCCGACTGGCAGAAGGTCATTACACAATTCTCTAACTTCCACGCGCGACACAACGGGATCTCCGCCGGTCTTCTCTTTTCCATTTCGTTGGTCCCGTTTTGCGATTTGGAAGACTCCGAAGTCTCAATGGCGTTCTTCGCAGAGGGCCAGAAGCCACGAATCCCCTTTTCGTCGTCTGTCCAGAAGAGTCCCGTCGCGATATGCACAGCCGCGGACGGCGCACTGATTTCGATAGCTGTCGTAGTCCCGACAAAGAAGTATGATGAAGCGATTGTATCACTCTATCCCAAAGTCACGATATACAGTGAAGAGTCCGGGTACTTCAATTCCGTCGTCTTTAAGTCGTGGTTATATGAAAGTGTTTTGAAGTCGATATTTATGAAGAGGAAAGAGACCGGCTATTTGAAAGATGCTAAAAGTGTTCTTCTGTGTGACAACTACTGCGAATGGATTGATCAGAAGACGGAAACAATCTTCAACGACAACGGCGTTGTCTTCCAATTTCTGGAACCGCACTCGGCGCCGTTTGTATTGCCAAATGAAGTCTGTTTGTATACGGACAGAGGAAATTATATTGGACGGAGTTATAAGCCCCGGCTCTTCGAAGACAAACCAAAGGAGAAGCGGAAGAGGACGTATGTGAAGAGTGAAGACATCTTTGAACGTGTTGAGAGATATGAAGGAGGGCGAGATCAGCTAGAGAAGATCATGTGTGGGTGGAGAAAGCAGTTGAAAGGGTTAGATGAGAAATATGTGAAGAGAGAAAGTACGGAGAAGGATAAGGAGGAGAGGGGGAAGATCATATTTGAGACTGCACTGAACGCTTTGAGTGAAATCCATCGACGAACGTCATTGGCAGACATCGTTTTAGCCTTCAAACACTGTGGCTATGTCGGTGTTCCTGTAGGGAAGAATGTGCGAACGTATGTTGATATCAGAGAGGCCATCCATTTCCTTGAAAATTCAAATACACAGCCGGGCGAGGAAGTTTGGAATGTGATGAAGGTTCCAAGTAGACAGACGGGGAGTGTAAAAGCAAAGCAACCGACTTCGACAACACTTGAGAGGTTAGAGGAGATCTTCATGCAGAAAAAGTAGGGTTTGGTGTATTTAATTTGAACTGAAATTAGGGTTTGATACTTTTAATTATTATTCAAATTTGATTAAATAAGACAACACTTGCATAACACGAGAATTACAACATCGACTGAGTACATTTCTGATAGTCTGCGTTGTTATTGGAGATCATCACGCACTCCTTCTTTTTATATTCCGGGTCGAAGAATCCGTTGACCAGTGACGTGTACTTCATATACATTAAAGCATCATCTTTCATTTTCTTTGCGGCTATCAGAACATTACTTGGAGTCGCGTCGGCAACTTCGTACATCTTCTTAAACGAATATCCTTGACTCCATACACCTCGCGCCTGCTGAGTCGACTTCTGGAAGTCCATAAAGTAGTCGATGTAGTCTTCTATAATCTTTTTAGTAGTGTCATATTTATAGACCCGCATACCGGGAGAATTCCCAAACAGTGGCGACACCGATATACTTGTTAACCCAACAACTCCATCAACTACTTTGACTTCGTCTCGGTGGTCGTGTCCAAATATGTTCTCCACGATAATGTCTTCGTTCTTTTTTAACATCTCCAAGAACCGACTTTGAACCGTCGAATTCAAATAACTTTTGCAGTCATACGCAGCAACACCAAACGGAAAGTGCCCGACTATTAAAACTCCATTGCCAATCTTCCGCGCTTCATTCAACCCCTCTTCTATATGTGAAAGAGAGTCACAGTCATCGCCCGTTAGCTTTGGACCATATAATATCGTGTTGATCGATACAACAGTCAGCCTCAAACTGTTAAAGTGTTGGTAATAACTCCCATGATGTTTATACTCCTCCGCCTCACTCGCTACATGTTGGTTTTATATCCAAAGAGTATAATATATTATACTATACTTTTATTTAATATACAATAAATTACTATAATATATTATAATATACTATAATATTATAGATTAAAGAATGATACAAACAAACCGGGAATATAGTCTTTGAAATATGAGTAATATTGCGTGTATTTGGTGTCGTCACAAGAAGTTATATATGACGGATTGAAGTCATTGTTACCTATACAAAACACTATTGGAACACCTGGGTATTTATGCTTGACGAACTGAAGTCCTTCTTGCATTGTGTCTTTAAATGCATCTCCGGGACTATGCGCAGAAACATCCCCAGATACAACTACTATTGCTGGATATGGAGAAACTCGATAAGACTGCTGAATAGCTTCTTTGACTAAATTTTTGTTGGAGTCACAGTAATACAAGCCAAACATCGGATCTTTGGGTTTGGGGATTTGACGAGACGGGACGTAGAACAACTTTGTCTTCTCGTCCATTGTTGTCCCTTTACCTCGACAACTGGTGTCTTCGTTGTATTTGGAAGCATCCATTAACATGTCATAGTGAATGTCAGTTAATTGGACGATGTCTATCAAACGGCTTTGAGTTAGTTGGTAACAAAAGATGAAGAGAAGTTGTACCAAAATCATTGTGATATAAATTCCAAGTTCGATAGTTTGAATATAATATTATAATTATATTTAAATAATTTACTACAATTCAACAATAAACCATTTTTATTAATAATTTATAGTTTATTTTTTTTCAGAATAAAATTTTTAATAAGTGATGGTTTGTATTATCAAATAATTATTTGTCAACAAAAATGTTTATAAAAAATACATTTGTTTGGTAGTTTATTTAATTATATTATTATTAATAAAACAAATATATTCATGGTATATTGACAACCAATAGCAAATTACATAATTTCAAAGATTTAATTCGTTAATCTCTATTTAAAAAAGAAATCAATATTATCTTATAATGAAATTTTCTTTATAAAATAAATATAAGTATCTGAAAAAAATTGATATAATCAATATATTTTAATTTTATACTGTATTTATTTCAAAATATACAATAACTGTAAAATAACACATTCTTAAAAAAGTGTGTAATTTGTAATATGAAAGATAATTAAATAAGTGTAATTACTTATCAATTAAAATAAATAAAATTCTCATTCTAATTGTTTTTTAGTTTCAAAAGTTGTGTTAAATGATACATTTTAATTGAATAAATAAATTATTAAAATTACATATTGAGAACGTTTTTATATTTAAATTGATAATCGTAATTTATTATAAAGTATTAAAAATCTATTTGTTGTTATGTCTTTTAATGTGGTGTTAGATCAACGATAAAATTGTTGTGTGTTTTAAATCATTTAAAGTTCTGTTTTGAATCAGTAACTATAACACGTTTTTTTAAATATGGGTTTTCCACAAAATATCAAAATAGAAATGTATATTTTTACAATAATAGGATTTTTTAATTTCTTTCATAAAAACACCAAATGAATGTGTTTATGTTTACTAATGATTAACAAAAGAAATAAAAAAAATATTTTAATTAACGCAAATCAATAAACAAAATGACTAATAATATGACAGGTAATTCTTATTTGACACATTTTGAACAACAAATTTATTGACTCATATTTATTAATATTTTGGCTATAATCATTTATATATGTTATTCACATTGTCAGTTAAATAAATTTTTTTATTACACAACAATACATTATATTCTAAAAATAGTGTTTTGAAGTTATTATGATTATTTAATAAAAAGTTTATGACAAATGTGGTTTTTTAATTTCAAATGCTTGGGGATTACTTCTTTTTAAGTGTCAACAGTAACCACTCATTAATATTAAGAGGGAAATATGATTACTATACAAAATACTAGTTTTTAAATGTTGTTTAATAATCAGTAACGAGTCTTTTGTTTTTAAATTAAAGAACAATTCAAGCTTGTTTCTTTTGTCATTGGGAACAATGACTACACTATTTTTTTATTAAATAACATTTAAATAAAAGGAATTATAATTTATTATGTTTTGATTACAAAAAGTGTGTTAAAGATTGTTACCAAATACTTTTTCATCTTTTATTTATGATTAAAAATGAAATTGGCAATGAATTTGAAAACAGGTTATTCGGTAGTTAGTTACTAGTAATGAGAAAGATAAAAGTTAGACAAATGTATTATATTTTAAAGTCAATTAAATTAGATTGACACAACAATTTGGTACTTAACCACACTTTCCAATTTGCTTTTAAGTATTACTCAATGGAATTTAACAAAAATTGGCTTTTTTTGGCAAAAGTCGGTCTTATTTTTCTAAGTAAAATGGCAATTCAAAAACACAAGTTGTGTAGACAAGTTTGGTGTTGCAAATAAAAGAAAAACCAAACAACAAAAAACAAATAATGGAAGATATCATTAAGTGCAACCATCACACCAACAACATTTTAAAAGGTGATAAACAGACGCGTTCGTCATGTGTTAAGGGAAGTGTCAATCGATCAAAAGATTCAAGGATAAATTCTCAAAGGGTGTTGAAAAACGAGATGAAACCAAAGAAAGTGCCACATGAAGAGAATCAAGGAGTTACACTTACAAAAGAAAATTTAAAATATATTAACACGATGAGAGACTACCAACTCCTGTATCGAATAAGAATTTGGATTGAAAGTAATAAAGAAGAATATAAGTATCCCGATCCCTATTCTCTCACTCATTGAAATTGTACATTAATTGTAATATACATATTGATCAAATTGTATCTCATCCAATTCACATTTAACTCACTACTTAAAAAACACCCTTTTTTGTTCTATCCATAATTATGAGGGAAAAAAATTATGGTTAACATCATTCCATGTTTTGTATGGATGTAGTTATTAACAATAGAAATATATGAAAATATAATTAACTTTTTCATGTTATTATAATTGTAGCTATATTTTATAGTAAATGTGTTAAGTACTAATTTTGTTAGTAAACAAACATTTTTGATTAATACTAAAATATTAACACTTCTTACTGTATTAAAATTAATAATTTAAATATATATATTTATATATAATTGTTATATTTAATAATATATATAATACATATAATTATATATATTATTATATGTGTTGAAAAATAATTAAGAAATAGTTTTGTATTTATATCAACCCAATTTCTAATTGACTTTTTTTAATTGCATTTTAAACTAACCATTTTGTGCAATCAAAGTGAATTATATTATAATAAAAATAACAAAAAATATTATAATTTATAAATATCTCATTTGCAAGTGTACCAATTCATTTGTTCTGCCATTCATTACTTTCTTATTAAGTGTATTATACTTCAAAAACAAACTATTAATAAACTATTTACTTTTTAACTTAAAGATTCATTCTACAATTTTTTGTTTCCAATTGTTGTTCCAAAGCTACCTTCATTAACTTTGAAATTATTATTTTGGGATAAAAATTGATCAACAAAATTGCTCTATTTCCGTTCAGTCTTACATCGCAATAGTCAAGAAATTGTAGAACAAAAAACTAATAAATAATGAGGGTTTGCTCTGCGTCGTTTTACTTGAGTGTCATTCTGATTTCTGCTCTCTACACACTCAACTTTTTCTCTGTACCGCGTTCAGGTGTATCATCAATTGCACGTTCTATTATTCTTCATAATAAGCCAATTATAGTTGCTCACCGTGGTGGTCGTGGTCTTCGTCCTGAGAACACGTTAGCAGCGATGAAATACACTTATGAGCATTATAAGCCTGGTTTTATGGAGAGTGACATTCACATAACTCGAGACGGTGAGTTCATTTTTATACATGACGACACATTAGACCGTACGACCAACGCTACTGGATATGTCAGAGACTACACTTTGAAGGAGTTAAGAACGTTTGACTTTGGCTATCACTTCACTGATGGGAAGAGTTACCCATACCGAGGGACTGGGGTTCAATGTTCGACTCTTCGAGAAGGCTACGAGTATTTGAAAGACAAGAACATCCCTCTTTCTGTTGAAATCAAAGACCGAGATATCCGAGTGGTCGACCATTTAGTGGACTATTTGAAGACTCTTCCCGGGTATGACCGGTTCATGTGTTTCTGTATAGCTGACAATGAGATGTCCGATTACTTCAAAGAGAAGACAAACTACCAGTTGTGCTACGAAGGCAGTGAAAAAGACGTTGCGATGTATCTGATCACCGGTCTTGCTGGCCTTCGGAATTTGTACTACTCAATATACCCCAATTACAACCGATTCCACCACGAACCCTTTTTGTCCGTTGGCGGCATCTCAATGGCTGAAAGGAGTTTGAACGTCGAGAACGAAAAGCTCAATTTGGAAAATTTCTATTTTACAATTAATAAGAGGGAGGACGCTGCAAAGTGTATCATCGACGATTGCGATGGGATGACAAGCGATCGACCGGATATCATAGAAGAGCTTTTGGTCGCTATTAAAAACAGAAAGAGTGTGACGGGAAAGCGATTTGATGGTGTTGTCTCTCTCGATGCAAAGAATGTCAGTTGGGACTGCGAGTCGTGGCTTTGTTTATTTGTAGACACCGTGTGTGCAAATGTGACTATTCCAGTCTTTTTGTGGATTGTCACTTTTATTGTCTTGGTGATCATTTTATCGGTTGTGAATGTCATCATTTGGATGATCAAATTGCCGTTTGCAAAGCCAAAGACATTGTGAAGTGAAGAATTTTTTTAATGAATTGTTTATTAGAAATATAATTAGAAATATAGTTATACAAATGATTAATAATATATATAATAATATATATAATAATATATATAATAATAAATTAAAATTATAAAGAATTATTTAAAACTACAACTTAACTATTTTGTATTACAAAATACATTACACAATTATTACTCACTTTTTGTCTCATTATAACACGTGTGGAGTTCACTCTCAACTCTTTCGATAGTCCACCTCTGATTAGGGACTTGTTTCCACATGTTTGTGACAATATCAAAGACGTTGTTTTTAACATTTTCTGGTTGACTTGGTCTTAATCCTCTTGATACGAACTCTGCGATGTTCCATGGGAATACAAAGGTGTTCTTTTCATAGACTTCATAGCCTTTCATGATTTCTAAAATAGTAATAGCGAAAGAGAAGATGTCGGCGGGGGTTTTGTAATAGTCTTGATTTAATATCTCGGGCGCCATATACACGGGTGTTCCGATACCTTTAGTGAAGGTCATGTTAGTCATCATCATATTGACATTTCGACTTGATCCGAAATCGGTCAATTTTGCGATGACTTTTTCGTTGTGGTCTAACGAGATAACGAGAATATTTGCCGGCTTAATGTCTCTATGAATGATCCCATTTTCGTGTAAGTAAAGAATACCTTTCGAGGCATCCCACAAGAATTTGAGCTTCAATTTGTCACTGAGATGGATCTTCTGATCGACAACATCTTCAATACTCCCATAAGTGGCATATTCAGTGACCATACAGATCTTCTTTGGGATAAATACAGCACCATAGAAGTGGACGATATACTCACTCCTGAATTTATCTAACATTTGTATTTCTCGTTCAAACTCATCAATAGCCTCTTCATTCATTTCTTCATTTTTTAACTTCTTAATAGCTACTAAATGATTCCGGAAAGTGCCTTTATAGACTATACCAAAGGAACCCTCCCCAATCTTCTTTTCTATTATTAACTCTTCATAATCTAATTTTGAAGTTATCACAGTCTGCGTCTCGACTTTGAGTTCGTAACTCTTCTCTTCTCCACGTTTAAGGTCAATGTACACTAATTTAATCACCATATTAATTTTACTTGTACATAAGGGACGTAATTGGATATCAAATTCACACGCTTCACCTTCTTTGAGTATACATAAGTTGGGTGTGATGTCCACTTCATATCTCTCATCGTCTACTGTACTTAACTGTAGCTTAATCGCGCTTTTCCCTTGATTACCAATACAGAGTAACTCCCGTGTTGTCTCACAAACAGCGATAAATTCGTTGTCTTCATTGAAACGCAACACGCGCTTGTTCACACAGATGTTCGTCTTTTCTAATTGCGAGAACATGATATTTGACATGTCCATCTTAAAGACAGTTACACCTTCAATGCCTTTGCGCTTCTTGAGAACCATCATAACTATATTAATTACAACGATAATAGCTATTATAACAATTAATAAGAACACGGCTAGTAGAACGAGTCCAACTATTAACCCTATTTTGACTTTCTTAATACACTCGGTGTTCTGTAGAGTGTAACCATCAACACAACTTATACAAACTCCCGAAGAAGCTTTTATACACAAATTGCTCTGTTCTATACTCAGACATACACCGTTTTTCAACAAATAATTATCTGCACATGACTCACATGTATTCATTGAAGTACAAGAGGAACATCCAATGTCACACTTCTTACATAAAAGTTCAATTGAGAGGAAGTAACCACTTTCACACACTTCACACCCAAATTTGCTACTTGTGATGCAATTTGGTAGTAAACTAGTGGATATACAAGTCGAGTTGATTAAATAATAATTCTCTGAACAACTTAAACAATTTGATGAGGTCGTCGCACATGAAGAACAACCAATCCCACACGCTTCACATTCTTGCGATGTCGTCATTATAAAGCCAGAACCACACACCAGACATTTGCCGTTTCGATTAATGGAACATCCTAGTAACTGTGGTATTGTACAATTGCCTTGTAAGACGGAGTATCCAAGAGCACATCGGAAACATTCAGTCGGACTGTAACACTTTATACAATCTTCCGGACATGCCTCACACTGTCCAGTTTCTTTATTTAACACGTAATGATGTGCACATCGTAAACACCCATTTTCAGACTCAGCCAAGCAATTGGTAATAACTGAACGCTTGAATGCTTGTTGTGGTATAACATTGTTTAAAGCACTTGTTAGAAGTGTCGAGTAACATTTCCCTGAACTTAAAATGTACTGAGAAACACATCGAAGACAAATTGTGGTGTTTAAACACTGCTGACAATTATTAATAGTACACGCCTCACAAATGGGAACAAGTCCATTTAAAAAGAATCCACTGGCACATCGTATACACTTGCTGTTACTAATTTCAACACAATTCGAAACTTCTACGCATTTAAAGTTATCAAGGACGTATCCCTCTGCACATCTATCACATTCAGTTTGGTTACATGAAGTGCAATTGGGGTGGATCTCTTCACACTTTTTACACTCTGAATTTTGAATGTAAAACCCTTCACCACAGTCAATGCACCCGTCTTGATTTGAAATATCACAAGACGCATCTTTGGGAAGACATACACCATTTTTCAGTATGTACTTTCCAAGTGTACAACTTTGACAGACGGCTCTTTTGTATGTATAATCAAATATACATGTAGTGCAATTCTCAGGACATACCCCATAATAAGAAGCATACTCTGTAGCACCTTTAAGTGATATTCCATCGCTATTTTTGAAATTAGAAATACTTGAAAGAGTAACTTCTGGGGAGTATTCACTACTGAATATAAAATATCCATCAGAAGCCAAAATGCACTGTCCTTTTGTGTAAAATGAACAACGAATGTCTTGATAGAGTTGGCACCTCGTTGAAGATTCATTCCAAGTGTATCCATCAGCACAAAAGACGCAATTTTCATTATCACACAGCATACAGTTGGTTATTTGACAACTCTCACACAGACCATAATTTGCTCTGAAATTATCAGAACAACTTTCACAACCAATTATAGGGTTGGTGGTGTCACAAGTCACTGATACACTTTTGACACACTTCTTATTTTGAAGCACATAACTATTTTCACACAATTCACAAACTTCACTGTTATCAAAACATGAAAGACACCCAATTGAACATTTAACACATTCGGAGTTGTTCTTACCATACCCTTCTATACATTGAATGCACGTGTCAGACTCTCGGTTTCCTATTAAACACCCTTCCTTGTATATTGAAGTGTTATAACAAAATCCGTTACTATAGAAATAACCCGAATCACAAGTGTTTGTGACAGAATTTCGCGTTTTGCATATGTCGGCTGTGCACTCGGTACATATATAGAAAGAAGACCATACCTAGTGAACATGCGTACACAAATTATTTCCACATGAAATGCACTTGGGTCATTTGTACACATCCGCTGGCATTTTCCATTGAACAGGAAATATCCATCATCACATATCTCGCACAAATCTTCTTTGTTATTACACTTGGAGCATTTTTCAATATCACATAAAGTGCAATTACCATTTCTGTTGACATACAAAGATGAACATATTTCACACGACCAATTATCGTTGTTACACTTGGCACATCCTTTGATCTCCTCAGAACAATTGTGACAGTACCCATCGAGTGGAGAAAGTCCATACATACACTTTCCATTTTCAACTGCAGTGCAAGTGGGATTTGAAACACTTTTTGAAGTGCATAATTCACATAAGCCACTGTCGTTAACACCATACATGTACCGACACTTTTTACAAGAAAAAGATGTTTGATTACACTCAAGACAATTTTCTATGGTTTCACACTTGTCACAAGACTCACGAGTTGGAGATAATACATACGTTGGAAAACACTTGAGACACTTTGTCTCTCCTCTTTCCCCAATTAAACAATTTGGAACTGCAGTGGAGAAGTCGATGCACTCCCCTTTGACAGCAGTATACCCCTCATCACAAATTACACACTCGTTGGTGGTTTGAGAACAAATTGTACAGTGACTCTTTGTCAAAGAACAAACCCCGCAATATGTTGAATTGACTAAGACATTTCCAGTGGCACATTTTGTGCAAATTCTCTCTGTTTGTGAACAAATAGAACACCCCGATATTTCAGTGGAACATTTCTCGCAATTGCGAATGTCAACAGTTGGTGTACTATCAATGAAACATTTGTGACATTTAGTGTTGTCACATCTTTCACAGTCATTGCACTTGACACACGTGTGATCGGGTGTGAGATAATATCCATCAGAACATTGAAGACACACATCTTCACTATATGAACACCCATCCACTGTCGTTTGGGCATAACAATACCCGCCTTTTCTAATATATCCCTCACTGCATTTTGTACACACATTTTTATTGTTACAGTAGTCACACCCAAGTTGACAAGAAAGACATGATGCTTCAGAGAAATAAAAGCCGACTTTACAATTTTTACACGCGTGGTTATTTGTGTTACATTGATGACAATTAGCTGGACACTTTTCACAATATCCATACGGATCAACATACCCTGAAATGCAATTTCTCGGGTAATCCATATTACTGCACGTATCAACTCCTTCAGTCATATAATTCTTTGGACAGACTATTTGTGAGTGATATTATATAAATTCAATTACTTGATAATATTATATTCATGTCATTATAAACAAACGAGAACAAGACGCATCACCTAATAACCTGTAATACCTCTCACAATCTAAACACTTTCCAGTCGTATCACAAGATGTACATCCAATAGTTGTGGAGTTACAGAAAACACATGTTCCAGATGTTGTGAGATATGTCCCAGAGTAACATGATGTGCAAGTGGAATATGTTGAACATGACATACACCGACTGTCACATCTTTCACATTTGCCTTCTGGTGAAAGATATGTCCCTACTTGACATGCAGAAGTACACAACACATCAGAACAACTCACACAAAGCCCATCGGCATTTTTGTACCCACGCTCACACACATCACATTTCACAAGTGATGAACAACTTTGACAATTTGGGACACACTCTATTTGTAACACTATTGTAACATAAAAAGAAAGACAAACTGGTACAATACCCGTCTTGAAGATAATACCCATCTTTACATGATGTACACTGAGACGATGACAAACACGTTGTACAACTTTGAGGACACTTTCTACACGTTTTTGTGTTCGATGAATCGTCTAACAAGAAGTACCCATCAACGCACTCAGTGCACACATCTTCTGCTGTACAGTATTTACACTCTCTGCGACACTCTATTTATTATTTATTATTCATATATTATTATTATAAAACAAACTATAACAATAGTAAAAGGCGTTGTCTTTGTGGCTGCCAGCTTTACAGCCGTCACAAAGGCCAGCTGTGCAATGATTACATTCATCATATTTACAATTGTTAATAGCATACACATAAACACAAAGGCAGACCAATTTCATAAGAAAATGTCCTGCGTTGTGTTTCATAGTGTGAATTGATTTATGATTCAAAAACAAGGTTTATGCTTTCCTCATTTTCGATGGGCTGTCTACTTTTCATTTGAGGCAATTTTTACTCATTATCACCAATTTTCTTTATTTTAGTTATAATTTGAAATACGTTGATACAAAAATATCTATTCTGATCAAAACATGAAAGTGCCTACTTTTGTCTCCAAACCAAAAAACAGAAAAATAAACGAAAGATTTACAAAAACAAATTAAAAAAAGTTTTTTATTCTCCAAAAATGTTTTTTATGTTCTTATGGGTTTTATTAATGGTATATTTATAAATAAATTTATTATAATTTGTAGTTTTTTTGGACGTTTTGAAAAAACTGTTCTGTAAGTTGCACTTTTGATATTTCATGATTTATCACCAACTTCCGTCAGATAAAAACGATAATGTATGTTTAACTATATTATAATTAGTTAACTAATAATACCAAATCATAGTTATTATATAATAAAATAGTAACATTAATTAGCTAATGCCAGTCAATTTTTCATAATTTCTTGACGATTTTTTTTGAATTATAGTATATATTATTATTAATTTTACAATGCAAAAAACACAAAATAAGCAAAAAGATATTAATGTGAAATAAATGTTGGTATATATTCGAAGACAGCGTTGCCACGCATACGATTTTAATATTTAATTGTTGTTGTTTTGGAAAATAAATATTGTTTATGTCACTGCGTCAGGGTTAATTAAAATAATAGTGATTGAAAAACATAAAAACAATTGAATAAAATAACCCAAACTTGGATAGTTTTATTAACTTACTAATAATTATTTTTAAAAAACTATAATTGTTAAATTTTATAGTTAAGTTTAATAGGTATAATCAAGAAAAAATTTGAATAAAGTAATAGTTTTTATTACAAAACAATAAAAAAATGGTTCTAATATTTTATTATATTTTTATTATATTGAATGTTAAATATGTTGAATTAATATAATTATATTTTATAGTTATTTTTAAAAATTATTATATATTATATATATTTATTATACAGGTTCATTACAATATGAAATTGAGACTTATTAATAATGGCTATCTTTAAAGTGTTAACATCACGCAAATTAAAAATCAATGATATAACATTAAGGCGCTTGTTTTCTTCGTGGCGGAAGAACTGGTTTACTTGCAGTCTCTCCCTGTTGTGATTGGAACATCGCAAGGCGATTTCTGAAATCGGTCTTGTCACCCTTATCCTCTGCCTTTTCGGGCTCACTCTTCTGTAATGGCTGTTCGTTTTTGACGGTTTGTGGTGTAGGTTTCAGTGTTTTATTAATTGGTGTTGTTTGTTGCTTTGGTAACGCTGGTTGTGTTCTTCTTTGTGGAGGCAATTGTGGTGCTGTTTTTTGTTTAGTCAAATCTGGTTTGCTTTGTTGTACGTTCGCTGCACTCACTGCCTCTTTAACCTCTTCACTTTTTTGTATCTGTGGTGACGCTCGCTGTTTCATTGGTGGGCGTGGTGGTAACACGATGTCTTGTGTCTTCTCGACTTTTTCTTGTGAAAACGACACGACACAACTCTCTGTTTTTTGGTGCATAGGACGATTTGGTTTTGGGTGCATAGGTGGTTTAGTTTGAGGTGGGATAGGCGGCAAGTTTCTTTCTCTTGGGGATTTTGGTTGTTGCGCGTTTGGCACGCTGTTTTGTTGTAAATTTGGAGGTGTGACTCTTCTTTGTTGTTGCACTTGTGGAGGAATTTGTTGTTGTTCATTACTTTGCGACTCAACGCTTTGTGGTGTTGACTCTTCGTTCTTTTGTTCGACCTTCTGTTCATTTTCCGATATAATAGGACGTTCAAAATCTTCTTCCATCACTTTAGTTAAAGGATTGTCAGTTTCTTGTTGAGGTGTTGATCCGCTTAAATCAACTGATCTTCTCTTATCTCCAAAACCGTTTATCTCTTCATTACACTTCATACACACATAATCAATTTTACCTCCCATCTTCGGCACTTTAGACTTAACTCGACAGTTCGAGCAAATGACTTTCCCGCAATTACGGCAGTGGTGTTTTCTGAAAAACAAGGAGAATGGTGTGCCGCATCGCATACATTCGCTTGCCTCTTCATCGGGCACCCACACTGTTTCTGTTGTTGTCTGAATTTCATTTCGCAAAGTCAACAGCCGATTTCTTTCATCCTTTGCCGCGTTATTGATCGAGTCAACCCAACCCTTCTTTTCTTCTTCGCTTCCACATTGGAATGTCAAGTCGACCTCCGAATTACTCAAATTTAATATTCGAAAACAAAATTTGCAGTTTGGGGAGTCTTTCATATCCTTCAAAATTATACTTTCGATGTTGTACATCGCGTTGACGACATTTTTGTTTTCGTCACCCGTTCCATACAAGAACAAGTCGTTGAATAAATAGATGAATCGGGGCTTATTCATCTTTCTACCAATTTCAGTGAGCGCACCACACCTCACATAGAACCTTCCAGGTTTCACAATTTGTTCTGCGGAAGTTCCATCCAACGTTTTTGAAATGCTGACAAGCTTATCTCTTCGTTCCCTCTCTTTGACGGAGTCATTTGCGTATTGTGTGTACTCTTTTAGTGATGCCAAAGCATCGACTATATTCTTATGATCAACGTGGTCTTCGGGAGTCTGTTTCAATAAATCGGTTAACAACAAATTATACCTTGGCAACCTTTGCACGGGTGTAATCAAATAACTCCTTAAATCCAATTGAACCTTTGCGTTGATCATCAACCGTTTTTGTTCCAAATATCTCGAAACACTCTGTGACTTTGAAATGTCTGCCATCGCAGCCAACACGGCTTCTGAATTACCGACAATCATTTTATAGACTTTAAAATAGTGTGCGAACTCGACAAAGGTTGCTCCGACCGACTCGTAGAGTTTCCCTTGTGATCTCAGTGCTGTAAGTTTCTGGAAAAATGCGTCGTTAATGCTGCTGACATCTGGAAAGTGCAAAAAAATGACTTCGAGTTTATCTTTCGGTATCACATTGTTTTGCATCAAAGGGTCGTAGTAGTACTTCAGACAGAGTTTAAGGCCTTGTACATACGATTCCTCTGTGTCATAAATCTCGTTGATGATCCGCGAACGCTTGTCGAGTGATTCTGATGGCTTTGACTTGTCAAAAGTCATCTCGACTTGTTCTGCGTTTCCTGCCTCGTCTAATATTTCAAAGTCGACTAAATCTGCTTTGGTCATTTTGCCTCTTATTTTCCAGTTTTTTTTTGCTAGTTGAATAGTCTTCATTACTGATTGGTTCTCATTTGTCGTATCTTGTCGGGATTTTTCACTCCTTTTTCTATCGGCTTTTAAATTTTTTTTAAAAAAGACTCTATTGGACTTTTTCTTTTAACTTCGATCGTTGGTGTTCGAACTTATTTTGCAAAAATTAAAAGAAAAAATTCGGGAAAACTTTGGATTGAAGAGAAAAATGATTAGTTGGAAATATTCTTTCGAGAGTTTGAATTACTATATTATATTTAATAGTTTACTATATATTTTAGTTGATTTTTGTAAATAATAAAATATGAATATTTTAATTAATTTTATTTAAATTAATAATACATTTATTTAATAACTATCATTTTAATTAAAAGAAATAAAAACTTTATTAAAAAGGCTTAAATCATGTTGGATAGTTTGTTAAACCAATTAATAAAAATTAAAAAAAAATTTTATCAACGAAAAAAATAAAAATGGTCCCGGCGGGGATCGAACCCGCGACCCTCGCATATCTCTATTCTATAAGTACGATGCACTACCGACTGTGCTACGGGGCCTTTCGATATTAAAAAAAACTAACATCTATAAATACACAAACCGTTGTTAAATGTTTAAAACCAAAAATTAAGTGTTGATTTATAAATTTTGAACTGTTTGAAAAATGAAATTAAACTAGTATTAAAAAATAATTAAAAGAAACCATTTGATGAAATTAAATAGAGCGATTCACTTAGCAAGCACCCATGTTAGTGCAAATAGTAACCTTGTCGACGTGGTTTTCGATCATCTTGATGAGTTCATCAACACCAAAGTTCAAGAAAGTGCTGCACAAAGTTCCAAGGAACCCAGAGACGTCACTGCAAAGGTTTGAGATGTATTGTCTGACGGCATCAGCTCCGTCGACGACAATGAGTTTCTCCAACATATCGATTGTGTCCTTGCACAAATTGCAAAGGAGAAGACCTTGCTTAGTAGCAGCAAAAGCGACTGCGAAAATGAGGACAAAGACTATGAATTTCATGACAATAATATGTTCTTATTATTTTCGAGTTTATATTGGGGTTTGTTCTATTTTTGGTACAACCGATCCTTCTTTGCCTTTTTCTGTGATTTTTGTTCTTATATAATTACTATATTAGATACTATAAAAGTGTTATATTTTAAGAACCGTGACTTTAATCCATTGTACCCAACACAATAGATTGCTTTAAAGATAATTTATAATTATTAAAATTATATTTTTTACTATAAATGTATTATTTTTATTATTTTTTTGGTAAAATGTGGAAAACAATGTTAAACATAATAAATTGATAGAATAGTTTAAAACTTTTTTAGAATGAAAAGAAAGTTCGTTTTTGTTTTTTTGATTAATTTTATTATAATAAACTATTGTTTAACTATTTTTTTGACATTTTTTCTTTTTTTATTATAAGATATATGATATAATAATTTTTCTATTTTTTAACTATATATTTGCCTTTCTAATTTACAATAATTATTAATAATATATGATAATAAATACTATTTGAAAAAATAAGTTATTTTATTTTTTAAGATCTAGTATATTATATTTAGTTTATACTATTATTAATAATAAGCAAGACCAGTTTATTCAATATCAATAACATTTAATTAATAGTAAAAATAACAATACAATTAAATTAAATATTGGAGTTCATTACACACCTCCTGAATTTGTGGGCGGTCGAGTGGATTTTGTTTCCAACACTTTTCCACAATACCAAACAGGTTTTTATCAATCCCAGTGTTTTCCAGTCTTTTTCCTTTTATGATGAAATCAGCGATGTTCCAAGCAAATTTGAATTTCAGACCTTTATACGCTTCTTTCCACGCGAAGCATTCGAACATAGTGACTCCAAATGAGTAGATATCAGCCGCTTTGTTATAAATCATTTTATTCAAAATTTCCGGTGCCATATATTTTGGGGTTCCCACTCCTTTAGTGAATGTCATGTTGGTCATCAACAAATTAATATTTCTGGACGACCCGAAATCGGTCAATTTGCCATTGACGAGTATGTTCTGTTCAATCGACACTATTAAGATATTGTCTGGTTTTAAGTCTCTATGTAATATCCCATTAGTGTGTAAGTACTTAATACCATTTGAAGCGTCTACCATGATTTTCTTCCTTAAAGAGATGTCAGGGGGGTTCTCCCCGAGTGTTTCGGACTGTTTCATGAAGTCGTTCAAACTCCCATAAGTGGCATATTCAGTGACTAAACTGATGTTATTAGGTAAGAAGACGGCACCATAGAAGTAGACGATATACTCACTCCTGAATTTGTCCAACATCTTCACTTCAGCTTCAAAGTCTTCTAAAGCACCATAGTCTATAGTACGCTCTTTAATCTTTTTAATCGCAACCGTGTTCGAGTGAAAAGTCCCTTTAAACACCGTTCCAAACGACCCTTCGCCAATTACCTTCTCTGTTATGATATCATCTGGATTGAGTCGAGTTGAGATTACTGTCTCCGCTGTGATAGAAATGGTGTTGACTATTTCTTGTGAGGGATGTGACAAAGCGACTGAAATTAGAACAATTTTGTCTTCGATTTTGCAGGTGTATTGTGGATTGATGAAGATCTCAAACTCACACGCTTCATTCCTGTTTAATATCACAACTTCCGGAAGTGTCCGAAGTGTAAATTTGCCTTTAGAATCTTTTAAAACAACTTGAATTTTCTTGCGGTTGGTCGAACTGTTACCAACACAGAACAATTGCCGCGTTTCGATATTAATTGGCACCGAACTGTTAATTTCATTGAAGTTAATGGTCGTTGTACTTAACATAATATCGCCAGAGACCCGCGTGAATTTGATGTTCGAGCGCTCCATTTTGAAGATTGTCAGACCTTCCTCCATCTGTTTCATATACCTTTTTTGTATTGCAATTTTCACAGAATAGAAGAGCAGTGTTGTGCATAGAATGACGACTAAAAGGATGAATATAACAAGTAACAATATACACCACCACGGTATTGTAAATTGACAACTTCTTCCTGTCGATGTCGGGGTGTGCCAAAACGCACATTTGGAGCACTTTGAATCATCTGCAGAGACACAATTTTCTATTTTTCTGTAATCAACACATTCGCCACTTTCAAGTACGTAATTGGATAGACATGAATAACATAATGATGAGGAAGAACATCGAGAACATGTCGACGGACAGCGCTCACATTGATTCGCTTTAATCGTGTAATACCCTTGTTGACATGAACTACACCCATTGGTTGTGATAGCAGTCGAACACCCAATGATCAAAGACTGAGGCAAACACTCGCCATCCTCCGCTTTGAAATTTGTCGCATTGCATACTAAACACTTTGAAGCTTGAATACACAAGTCGCACTTTTCGTCGCATTGTTGACAATCAAGGCCAATGCGATAAAATGAATCTTTACATGAGTAACACCCATCACCGGTCGTTGAAAACGTCTCACAACTCTCTTTCAACATTTCATTTGAATAACACCGATTTTTACTGATGAAATTTCCTTTGGCGCAAGTCAGACAAAATGTCTTGTTGAGACATGTGGAACAATTACCGTCACATATTTCACAGTTCTTGTTGTGCGAGAGAAAGTACCCATCACCACATCGAATGCACCCAAATGGACTTGACAATGCACAATGTGTCGAATTCGCTTCTAAAACACAACTGCCTTCAACCGTCAAGATAAAGTCACTTGAACATTCGACACACTTGGAATTGATATAATACATACAATTCCGATTTGTCGAATTTACTTCATACATCCCATTTTGATCATATACCGAGTTGCTTGTATTAGACGAGAGAAGAACGTCTGAAACACATATTGGAGATCCTTTCGATGTGAAAGAAGGGTTTGTCTCAAAACGATAAGTAACCGCACATTTTGTACAACGGTCTTGTTCGCAAATGTCACAATTCACAAATTTTGAGGCACAGCTCTCACAATAAGTCCCGTTTGTCACAAAGGTGTTCTTACAAGCTATAACGTGCGTCTGACTGAGCAACAAAGAGTTGTTGGGAACGTCAACACACGTCCCAGAGATCAACAATTTGTGTGATGTTGTGTCACATAATAGACAAAACGATTCATTTGATACATCTGAAATGCTTTGTGTCTGGCAGAAGTCACTTCTTTTCACACAGAACCCTTCTTCTTGTGCAAATCCTTCTTCACACTTCACACAGAAGTTTTTTGTAGCGAAAATGCAGTGATGAGACTCTGCTGTTTCACACGAGTTGTTAAGAAGGAGAAATCCGTCGTTACATAATACACAAGAGTGGTGTGTTGAGTTGGCACAAACTCGACAATTTTCGTCTAAACACCCTTCGCACCTTTCAAGGTTATAATTGATAAGAGTTGGGCAATAAGAAGATAATAGAAGACAGTTCACTTCTTTTTTGTTAGCTTCGACAACAGTGCAATTTGTGTTATTCAATAAAATGCCACTTTCTGAATAGATCAGCGCGTGTTTTGTGAAGTCTGAAATCCCAATAATAACGCTTTTAGTGGAGTTGATATACACCACCAGAGTTTTGATCAAGTGGAATGAAACTTTGATGTTTTCTATATAAAGAACATCCTTTACTTTAGTGTCAAAACTCTCATTAAACTCCTCTGTAAAGTTGAAATCGATCTCATTCAGAGTGATTATAGCAATGTCTTCAAGTGGAGTAATATAACACTTTTCTCCTTTACAAGGACAATATGGCTCGACGTAGTTATCACTATTTACAATTGAGTTATTTAAATGACAGAAGATGTCCGTCGATTTTCCATATCTCAAGAGCCTCTTGTCTTGCAGAAATGTGAATTTGTCGTTGTTCAAAGTGAAGTTAAAAGGGATGGATGAAAACGCGAAGTCGAATTCGTTATCACTCGTTATGGTTCCAAATTGTATTATATCAATAGACGGAGTTTGAAAGAGAGGAACGTTTTTAATACTTCTTGTGTTAACATTGAATGTCGGAGTTTTAATAATTAGTTCATTCGTAACTATATACGATTTGTCTGTCACTATAATTGAAGCTTCACAGTCAAATTTGTTAGTTATCACAGAGGGTTTGCTCGTGTTCGTTTCTATACGAAGAACACCGCCATTTAACAATGTAAATGATTGGACTATAGCACTTGTTGAGTTGTACATTTGAAGAATCCCCCCATTTTGGACGTTTAAATCACCGTTTAACATAATGAAACTCTTGTTGTTGAGAACAATAAGACCATTTTCATATAGTTTTATTAGTGATGAAGTGTATATATACGAATTGTCATATAAGTCTATTTCGCCTTGACCAAATATCGACTGTTTGGTATAATTGAAGATGTTGGCAGTGTTTCTCAATTCAACTTTGGACTTCTCCTTGACAATAAAAGTGTCTTCTCCATTCAAACAAGAAAAGTTATTTAATTGAATAACTGAGCTTCCGTATAATGTCACGTTTTTACATAGTGACCACGCCTTGTTAAATTGATTTAATACACTTCCAGAATACATTTCGAGTGTTGGTGTATTGAATAACGAACGATTGAACATAATAAGTTGAGTTCCTATATTAGATAAAGTTGATGCTTGATACACTATAACAATGCTATTGTCATACAAAGAGAATATTCCACTATTTGTGAACGTCATTGTGTAAATTCGTACTTGAGATGTACCATTTAGAGTTACTGTAGTGTTATCAAATGAAGAAGTTCCAGTTAAATATACAAAGGAATTCTCGACATTAAAATATGACACTTTAGACACAAATTCTAGGGAAGCAGTAATTGAAGAGCTTGTCTTTAATGTTATTGTCGTTCGTGTAAAGTACAATTGTGAAGTTAAAAATGTTGAGTTATCGAAAATGGTGATAAAAGAGTCTGTGAAGTCAATAGTGGTGCTATAACACTCAAGTGACAGAGAAACATTGACATTCAGATATGTCGATAAACAAGACCCACTTGTTTTACTCGTGTTCTCGTTTTGTTCTGCTAAACAACAAAACGGAAGTGTGAAGATAACGAAGAGCAAGAGATGACAAGCATTACTACTCTTGTTTTTCTAGTCTTCTTT